TTGGTTAAGTCCACAAAACCAGCCCCCCCAGGGGTATATGACGAAGGCTAGCTACTTCATGCGGCTAATGGGAGGTGTCAGTCGAGGGCCTAGTGGCGAAACACCACTTAAAAAGTTCCTAAGTCCTAAATCATAGGCCCTCGGTCAGCTCGTGGCATTCATATGAAATAAAGTACAACTAAATGGAGACATCAGCCGAGGGACCAGCAACGAACATTACTTAGAGAATTTTCTAAGTCTTAAACTATCGGCCCTCAGCCATTAATGGAAGAGGGCTTACAACTCATTTACACAACATAAAGTACGTGAAGGAAGATGTCAACCGAGGGCCAAGTGGTACACATCACTTAGAGAATTTTTCTAAGTCCTAAATCTTTTGCCCTCGGTCAACTCATGACATCTACACAAACTCATAGGAAGCATCGACCGAAGGCCTAGTACTAAACGACACTTAGAAAAGTTTTTCTAAGTCCCAAATGATTTGCCTTCGGCCCATTCATGATGAAAGCATACGGAGAAGCAAACACGTTCATACATAAGGCGTCAACGAAACGAGAGCATTCATTCAAAACATAAAAGAAAGACGAAGGCATCAAATCATTCATACATTCACAAAAACGAAGAGTAAATTGTTACGCATCGGGGTCGAAGCCGAAGGTTACATAATGTTATATTACAGAATATTGTTCAAAAAATTGTCTAAGTACAAATCAAATGTCGGCTTCAACAACCACCTCTTCGGCAGGCTTGGAAGAGACGTCCTCTCCGGGCTCCTCTCCACCATCATCTTGTGCCTCCTGCATCAGAACTGAATCCTCCAAGTCCGATCTCTCAACATCCGGGGGAGGGGGATTCTGACATCAGGTTGAAGGGGGGGAAGACCGTAGGCCGAAGGATCAAAGTCCTTTTGGTCAACCCCGAAGTGCCGGGCGAGCCTCCGGTGGACGAGGGCCTGAGTGAAGAACTCCCCCCAGCATAATAATCATCGCCCTTCCGGGCCATCCACATCTTGTCGGGGCCTCCGACCCAGGCATCCACCCACTTCTCCACCACTGAGGACACCCACTCTCCCCTATCCTCGACCTCCCTGCCCCCGGAAACAAAGGCCTCGACGACAGCCTTCTCAGCTCTCGCTACCTCCTTGAGCATGGCCCTCTCCGCAACCTCCACAACAATCTTGGCGGCTTCAGTAGCAACCCTCTCAGCTTCAGCCTTGTCCGTCCTGGCTTTTTCAGCTTCGGCATTCGCCTGCCGGAGGTCCTCTTCTAACTGTGCCATCTGCCTCACAGCGTCAGCATTATCGTGAATGAGCTTCTTCATCTTCTCATCCTGTTGTGCCTTCTGAAGGCACCATTCCTCAAGCCTCCGGGCCTGCTCACCTAGGGCAACACAAGCCTCTAAGCAACAAGAGGGTTAGGACACTATGCGAAATACTCTAAGGCAGAGAGAAAAGAAACAATAGAAGAGAAACTTACAGTAAGAGAGGACCGAAGGATCTTAGACTTGAGGGCTTCGTCATCTAGCCTGCCGAGGGCTGCCCTATCCAGCGAAGGAGTGGCCCCGCTCATAAACTCCCGAGGGTCCACAGTACCATGCATAATGGCGGTCCCCTTCAGGAGGGAGAATTGTATGTCCTCCTGGGGCAAGCCCACTTCACCCTTCTGCGCCGGAGGAAGGCTAGAAGCAGTCGTGGCCATCAGAACATGTGGCTCGGAAGTGGAATGCTCGTCCACAATCAAGACCGGGGGAGCCTTCTTCCCGGTGTCCCCCTTTCTGGGCTTCTTCCCTTCGAGGCCTATGCCTTTGCCCGCTGCCTTCCTCTTCGCAGCATCATCAACAGGGGCAGCTGAGGGCTCACAACCCTTCTTAAAGAACTCGCCAACGGGCTTCTGCTTGCCCGGCTTCTTTTTGCCCTGGCCCTTCGCCTTTTGCTTCTTTAAAGCGGCAAATGAGTTGATGTCCATATTAGCACCTGCAAGATAACACAAATAAATGAGGCCGATGGGTCAAGACAAATATATAAGCTACAAAAATTCTAAGTGAAAAAAATGGAACCCCCGGGAACTACCTCTTGCGCTCTCGAAGGCTACGTCAAGGACAGGGAACCTCTCGTCTGATTCCCCCAGGAAACGATAGCGCCAAATGCCGAGGAGATGTAAGTCATCCTCCAGGGTGGACTCCTTGATGGTCACGTGTTTGTCCCGCCCCTCCGGGATCTTGGCGAGCTTTTTACCATCCTGCTCGAGGGCGGCACTCCCCACCTTCGGGTGCCGTCTGAAACGATCCCGCAACTCCCCAAGAAACGGGCTCTCGGACAGCCTAACATAGCAGAAGCGGTCCTTCCACCCTTTGTGCGACGAGGGTGCCTCTGTAAACAACCTCCACTTGGCAATCTGCTGCAAGTTCGTAAAGCCCTCGGATTTCTCATGCCCCCCCCCCGACAGAGATTAAAACTCTGGAAGAACAAGTCGAGACTGGAAGCCACCCCCGGGACCGGCAAAGGTGCAGAAAGCCGGCGATATACGAGTGGTTGTTGGGGGTGATTGGCAAGGGACTAGACCCACGAACCGGAGATATTCACGGAGAAGCGGGTGCAGGGGAACCGAAGGCCCAGGGAAACCGAAAGAATGTGTACATCAATACACCCCTCGGGAGCCCGGGAGAGAACATCATCGGGCCCCGGTTGAACCACGATAGCCGAAGGCCCGACGTGCAACTGCGTGACATAGCACTCCGCCATATCAGCCATCGACTTCAACTTGAGAGCGGCGGTGTTCAAGAATGAGTAACCCTCCGGCAGATCGACGGGTTTCCCTTGGTCTGCAACACTCCCCTTCTTCTTGGGAGCTCTCATTTTCTTCTTGCCCTTCGCCGAGGGCGCAGCTCTAAGAGGCTCCGGACTGAGGGCTCATGAAGTCCCTTCCCCAATTGCAATGGCCGATGGAATAACTATGGTGACCCTCCGTCGCTCTTTTTCCTCCTCCTCCTCAGCCGTTTGCATGGCGAGGGCCATCTCCTCGTCTTCAATTTCTTGCTCGAAGTCCTCGGATTCGGCTTTGGCCACGAGGTCCTTCTGCACCTCCATAGCGACGGCGGAATCACCACTTATCGAAGGCTGTCCGCTAGCAGACTCCACGTCTGTGATACTCTCTTCCTCAACAGAAGGCTCCCGGGAGATATCTTGGGAATCGCTTGATGAGGACATCTTTCGGACCGAAGGCGGCAAAAAGCGTGACAAAGGAAAATTCCCTAAGGCCACTAAAACACTAATGACTAAGGAATCAAAGCTAAATATACTACTGAGATGAATACCAAGAGAAAAACTGACCTCGGGGAGATGGTTTTGATCGAGTGAAATGCTTTTTCTCTCTCTAGAAACAAATTGGGCAGAGCTTCGCTAAGACAACATGATCGCACAAGGAGAAATGGTCAAGCCATGGGGTATTTATAGACTCCTCAATCCGGGCTTGGGCCGAAAACCGGCCCCCCGGACGCCAAAGTCATCATTACGAACCGTCAATTCAACCAACCGGTGACGCTCGCCCACAGACAACCAACGAGCATGAGCCACGTGGAAGCCCTCTCCAACGTTCATATTCCAACGGTTATTTTTTTTGAGAACCCGGAGGTGCCCCCAGTCGATCCCCTTCGCGCAACAATGCGGCCAGCCCTCGGGCTGCCATATTAAAAAAACCTCGTCAACAGTAAGGCCCCCAACTTCAAAATGGGAGAACCCCACGGGAACCTTTGGCCCTCATCAACGATAAGCCCCCGACATAAATACCAGGGGACCCCCCTCGGCGTCTCCCGGACATCAACAAGGTACCTTCAGCAAATCAACAAGCAAGCCTTCAGATCAAGGGGAGCCTTCGGCATCACCATCATACTCAGACCAAGGGTCCATCTTTTTCGATTCATCATTGGGGGGACTTGATGCACTCTTTTTCCCTTATTGGGATTTTTTCCCACAGAGTTTTTCCTAATGAGGTTTTTAACGAGGCATCCCCCCAAAATGAAACGAAAATAGTCAGCCCTCGGCCCCATACCGAAGACGGGCACTGCTCTACTCCTCTTCACCACATTACATGTGCCTCAAGGAGTGGGGGACTGGAGGACCCCTTCGGGAAAATGTCAAAACCCTCCGTCCCAATTTACTTAGCCATCTTTGACTTTTCCAGTCAAAGATGGTAAACTTTGACCAGTTATTTAAACTAATATATTTATGCAAAATTTAATAATTTTATACTTTTATGATAGTATTTTTAACAAAGAATATTTTCATATCATTTTCATATTATTAATACTTTCTCTATATAAACATATAATCGATCAAAGTTAGACTTTATAGACTTTATTGACGGATGGAGTAATTAAAAAACAACACAAAAAATATCACCGCCGCCGCTATCGCCCCAGCACCACCACCTTCAGTCACCAGGGGAAAAAATGCCGAATCCATTACGAATGCCATATTTATGGCAGATTTAATCAAAATTTTTGACATTCGCAAAGAGTAATATGCTATTTTTTTTCATTTTCAGAAAAATTGCGTTTTTTACAACGGTCGGAGGTGGTGGTGCAGGGAGGCAGTGGGAAAGACATCCATTTTTTTAATTTTTTTTATGAAGTTTTTATTATTTTTTATATTTTTTAAAAGAATTAAAAATTTATTTTTATTTTTTTAAATAAATATTTTATTTATTTTTTAATTTTTTACTACGATTTTTTATTTTTTTCGAATTTATAATAAATGAAACATTTAATTATAACTTTTGACTACGTTTTCCTCATATTTAAAAGAAGAGTGAGAATGAAATGACTTTTGACTACGTTTTCCTCATATTTGAAAGAAGAGTGAGAATGAAATGAAAAATAGGTATGTTCCAATAAGAATAATATGGTCATATTTTGGAATAAAAATATAACAGGTGCTATTTTGGATTTTGGTCATAGTTTTAGGGTGAGTAATTTACCTTAAATAAATTTATAGAGAATATTACCCGAAATAGGACTAAAATATTTTGAAAATTTCAAAATAGGACCAACATGTTTTTATTTCCAAAATAAGACTAATTATTGTCATATTTTGGCAGTACCAGACTCTAAACATGGTGGTATTTTCTAATTATGACAATAATTAGTCTTATTTTTAGGAATAAAAAATAAGATAATCTTATTTTAAAATTTTGAAAGGACCCCAAAATTTATAATATGGAATTGAATGTCCACGACTGATGGATCAATTTGATTCTTGAAATATTGTGTTGAATTTTGTGCATTCATATGCATTTATCTTCTCCCTTTCAAATCTCCAGATGTAATTGAGCCCTACCAGAAGCTCCGTAATGGCGGCTTCCGTCTTCTCTTGGTTGGCATAAAACAAGGTCTGGATCAGAAGAACATTGGTCTTCGGCAGCAGATTATGATGCTCAAAGCTCCTTTCGCTCTGCCATTTTATCATATTGTGTGCTAAAGGCGATATCCATCCTAAGATTTTCTGCAGCGCCTCTCTCCACTCTCCGGCCAGCCCCTGGTCGGTGGCGGCGGAAAACCCCACCCCTTTCAGCCTCGTCCGCAACGACGACCGGATGCTGTTGGGCAGCATCGAGTATAAATCAGCCCTCGCATCGAATCCGATCAGCTGAGGAGATCGGATCATCTTTTCCATGATGACGATGAGATTGGCGTAGTGCAAAGACAGCGCCGCCGCCCCTAAAGTCCCCTCCGGCGGCTTCAAGGTGTCAGAATTCGACACAAAAAACGCACTTCGCGCTAGATCTGGAATTTCCACTTTATGGGGCATGGTCGATCCAGGTAGTGTGAGGTATCGTCGGTCCAGGTTTTCATTGATTCCGACGAATACAAGCTTGATTCTGGCAACGGTTGTGAAGATGCACCGAGCGAGTAATATTGAAACCGACTCGAAGCTCCTAGACCACAGGGAGTTCTGTTTTAGATACTTGATCTGTTTCTTCTGCCAATGCAGCTTTTGTTGGAGATCGGACAGTCTCTTCTCTCCCATCGAGCTGTCCAGGTCCTTGGCTTCACTGGTTTTCCTGAGCCGGTTTTGGAGACCTATGAGCTCGTCCATTGCCCTGCGAAGCAAGGCAGTAGAGCTCACGTATCTCTCCAATTTCTTCATCCTGGATTCCATGTCTTTCCAACTCAGGACGAATCCATTCGGATCCTGACCCGAGTCCGCGAACTCGGAGAGCAAGCTATCAAAAGATGACGACAGGAGATTCGAGTCGTCATTGTCATTGTGACACCTGTTGCTGATTCGGGACACCGATTCAGCAACGGTTTTGAGATTGTCCACCAGCTCGCTGCAAGCCATAACTAAGAGGAAGGCGTCATCGTCAGAGACGATTTTGCGGACGCCTTCCAATGTCGCTACAGATTCCACCTGAATGCGGGTGATGTTATTGTCCGAGAGAGAGTTCCATAAGTGGAGGAGCTTTGACATAACGCCCGAGATTTCGAAGGCTAGGACACCAACGTGTGCCCCCGTTGCTGCTTTAGTGGCCGTCTGCACCAATGGCAGTGGCAATGGCTTTGTGGTGGGACGTGGCGTGGCGGCGGCACGTATCACATCTAGGCTATGTGCTACAATGTGCCTTACTTTGATCAACCAAGTCTCTAGAGCCATGCTAGCTTGGAATGTATGGAGAGGGGGGAAAATGAGGTTGTATGTGGAGAGCGAGGCAGGATGGAAGTTAAGACTTTAGAGTGTTAATGTTGGGGGAGAGATAATAATAATAATAATAATAATAATAATAATAATAATAATAATAATAATAATAATAATAATAATAATAATAATTGAAGATGGAGTGGTGCCGAGAAGAGAATGACAAAAGGGTGAGATAAAGAATTGACAGAGAGAGGGCAGGGTGGTGGAATGTTGAAAGAAGTGGAAATGGTCCATTGAAGAAAAATGGGATGGGATTATTAGTCCAACCAAATTGGTATCATACACTTAGACATAAGCGGTAGAAAAAGGAATCCCTTGGTTGGTTTGGCGTACTTCCCTTGTTGAAAGAAGTGGAAATGGTCCATTAAAGCATTTAATTTTTTTAAAACTAAAATTTAAATTCCATTATTATTTTTTTTAAAAATTCCCTCCTGTCGGATATGCTACTTCCGACTGGGGAGTTTTTTTTTTAAATTAAAGTTTTTAATTTCCGACTAAAGTTTTAAACTAAATTAGCCAATTGAATTCTTGTTTTAATTTTTAAATTGGCCGAATTTCTCTCCTTTTTAATTACTGGCCAATTTAATGTGGCCGAATTGTAAACTGTTTTGTTTGTCAAAGTTGTTTAGTTAAAGTTTTTAAATTCCAGTCAGATGTGGCAATTCCGATTGGGGGAGTGCTTTTAAAAAAAAACCTAAACTCTAGTCGGAACAACGGATTCCGACTCCCGTAAAATGGTAAGCAAGTCCCGTATTTTGGTTTGTCAGTCCCAAAACTCCCGTAAAATGGTAATTTCCTCCAACATTCATTCATCAAAGATTAGGATTACCTTACCTGTAGGATGGCAACGGGGCGGATCGGAAACGGGTACACATAAAACTGAAACCGCCCCGTTGGATAAATGTTTGCCCAAAACCGCCCCATTACCCATTCGGGTAATTTTTTTTTGAATCGTACCCGCCCCAACGGGGAATCGGTTTATCCACGGGTACCCGTTTGCCCAAATGATACTAAATAACCAATTTCTAACCCTACTTATTAATGTAAACATCATTCGTAGTAATTACATATTAAAAGCACCATAAAACATACAAAAGTAAATGTTCAAGCAATCAAGTAGTTTTAGTCCTAAATTCATAAGTATGACAAGCACTCAATATCTCTTGTAACATCTGGAGTTTTAATTTGAGGAACTCATTTCTCTCGAGGGAGGGTCTTCTACTTGTATTGGGGTCGGGTTCGTTTTTGCATTTTTATTTTTATTTTTGATTTGTTTTTTTTTTTTTTTTGCTTTTTCCTCTTTTCTTTGTAATCCTTTTAGATATTTTTTCAATAACACTTCTTTCCCTTTAAAAAAGAAGAAGAAAGAAGGAACTGAGTCGAATCCTTGATAATGAGAAAGATTAGAAGCCACCAATGGTAGAGCCGAACTGCAAGCCTAGCATCGTTCCATCTAGAACGATCGAAGAGAGTTGTTCTCACTGTTAAGAAGCAGAGCCCCAAGTCATAAATCCATAATACATTGAGTTAGAGATTTTGGGGTTTTTGAAGTGGGCCTGGTGTATTATTCTTTATATACTTATATGAGATAAACGATTTAGTGTACACAATTTAGCATATATACTTATTATTCTTATATATAAAAAGTTATAATTTATTAATAATGTTACGGATCGGGTAACGGTGCGGATACCCGCACCATTAGTGAACGGGGCGGTTTCGGGGCGGATAACGGGGCGGATTAGTATAGAACCATAATCGCACCATTATCCATTTTAAAAAATCGGGTATTCCCCACCCCGTACCCGTTCCCCAGTCAAACCGATTTTCCCCAATTTGACCAAATCGGTTCAGTGCGAGTATCCAACGGGTCGATCGAAATTGTCATCTCTACTTACTTGCATGTGATCTTCCTAATTAATTTGTAGCTCTGTGTGCCTACTATTCACTCAAGCCTAGCTACATGTGATCTTCCTAATTAATATTCTCAATTAGTGCTATCTCCGTCCCACTAATAAAAGTAACACGATTATTAATAAAAGTGAGTTTATATTGTTGATATTGAATTGATAAAGTAGAATAGAGTAACAATGATTTAGAGTCACACAAACTTTATCAAATTTGGTATGAGACAATTTAGTGGGATTTCCCGAAAAGATAAAATGGGATGATCTTATCGGGACGGAGGGAGTACCTTTCTTCTGGGGTTCTCTATTCTAAATTTTTCGGTCAACTTCAATCACGGTGTATGAATGTTTTTACTTGGGCTGAAATTTGCTGATCTGATCTTATTTGTTCTAGTCTGGTAAATGTCTGGTCTCTTTGTATTTTATAACTATGGAAGTCTGGTCTAATCCAGTATGTTTAAGTCTGGTCTGATCTGTTTAAGTCTGGTCTGATTTAGGTCAACTGAAAACATTTTTAGTTACCTAATAATAATGTATATTCAGGGGATCACTTTCTAATTTTGTGATCTAAAAGATTTTCAACAAGCTTTTGAAAACTACAAACCGAGTAAAAACTTCCGAGTTACGCCTCATGGGATAGACCCAAGTATAACGAGAAAAATCATCAATAAAATAAATATACGTAGTAATATTTATATCCTATGTTGGATAAAACTCAAGACTGCCAAACATCAGAATAAATAGGTTGTAAATATGTTGTAGAATTATGATTAACATGCATCCTGAAAAGATGGTCCGGGAGATTTACCCAACTTACAAGAAACACAATTATGACTACAAGTACTAGAACTAGAAATAAATTGATTTTCTGAAAAGTGGATAAAACTCTATCACCACAATGTCCCCAACGTTTGTGCCAAACTGATCCAGATACAACGTGAGCTTGAAAGCCAGTTGATGAAGTATATTCCCATATACCTCAGGGGTATCATAATCAGCAGACAAAGACTTCGAATTATATCAACACAAGTATAAAGTTTCAGCCGAGGTCGAACTCGACGCACGAGGTCGGTAGGACTGAGCATAAACCGACCCGACAAACCCAATTTTTTCCCGGATTTTATCCAATTGGATATGGATATCCGATACGACTACCCATATCCGAAATTTTTGATGGGCTTGGGCGGTTATCAGGTTGCGGGTAGGGTTTATAAAACCCTAACCCGATCCACCCGAAAATCCGAAATACCAAACGAAGTCGTTTTGGATTATATATATATATATATATATATATATATATATATATATATATATATATATATATACGTATAACTCTTCTACCCAACCTAACCCTATCCGCCTCTTCGATCTGTCTTCTACTCTTCGCTATATCCTCTCTCTAACTCTCTTCTGTCTTCACTCTTCACTTGTTGAGACCTTACTCTCCTCTCTCGGTCTTTGATTTCCTTCTTCAATTACACTTGATTACTTGAGAGTTGAGACTTGAGAGTTGAGAATACTATAGTCCTATTTGGTATTTTGGTGGAAGCTCTCACACAAAAGACACACAGTCACATTGAAACCCTAATCGGTGGAAACCGTTCTTCGATCATTCCGAAGTTTGTAGTCTATTGCATTGTCTCTGACTCTGAGGTATTGATATCTACGGTTTTATTATGAATTTGTTATGTGTTACAGTGTTAATGTAAGGTTTAATTGATTTATACAAATGATGTAAATATGTAATTCTATTGTGGATTTGTGGAAGCAAATGACCTAGATGATGATTGTATTTGAATGTTTGATAAATTGATAGTATGATGATGTTGATGATGTAATTCATGCTTAATACCCTTATAAATTTGACGAGTGACTATGAATCTACATATGATGATGTTGATGTGTTCATGCTTAATAATATGTTGTTGTCTCTAAGTTGTGGTGAAATATGAATTCTTGCTCCTCACTGACTAAGTATCCTATATATGAATTCTGAGTACTAAACTGTATGATTATGCATATATGAATGATGATGGAGCCTGAGGCTTGTTCTGAATTCTTAAAGCTGTATGCCTAATGTATGATTATGAATTTATGCATATTTGAATGATGATGGACTGAGGCTTGCTCTGAATTCTTAAAGTTGTATGCCTATTGCCTAATGTATGATTATGCATATGTGAATGATGATGGAACCTCACTGCCTTGTGTTTCAGTATGCATATGAGAAAGGTATATGACTTATGTTAATATGTGCTTATAAGAATGATGATGGAGGCATGGAGCCTCAGGCTTAGCCCTGTTGTGTATTCTGAAAGGTAAACAATTGAAGCCTCTATTATTTGTTGCATATAAAAGAAGCTACCTTTGTGACTCTAACACTCAAAGGAGTAGTAAGAGTCAATTGGTTCTTCTAAGTCTGTAGGGAAGAATTAAGCATACTGCTTAACTTCTTCTATAAATCAGCTTGCTAATTGTTCCAGACTTCATCCTTATGAACTTATGAACTTAAAGAGAAAAAAATTGACCCTCATCCATCTGTGTTGACAAAGATGTGGAATCTTAACGGTGGAAGCCTAATCCATCAAGATAGTGTTACCATGCCTGTATCCGGTGAACCTCCTCTAAGCCAGGAACCTGCAGTGGAAGCTCCCATTGTAGAGAATAATGATACCACTCAACAGACTGATATAGCTGCTGTTTCTGGCCAAAAGATGAAACATGTTGCATCTAGGTCCAAGATATGGGAACACTTTGACAAGATTTATGATGAAAAGGGAGTTCTTGTTAAAGGGAAATGCATATATTGTGCAAGATTATATGCTTGTCATTCAAAAAAACATGGCACCTCATCTATAAGAAACCACATGCTCAGTTGTCTGAAGAACACTCATTGTAAGGACACTAGGCAAGCCCTCTTAAACTTCCAACCAATAAGTGGTGATAGTCCTAGTGAAGAACCTGCTGGGGTTTTAGGAATTTGGGTGTTTGACCAAACTGCAATTAGAAGAGCTCTTGCAGAAATGCATATAACTGACGAGCTTCCTTTTAGGTTTGTTGAGAGGCAGGGTTTTAAAAAGTTTATGTCCATAGCTTGCCCTAGATTTAAGATCCC